GGGGGGGGGGGGGGGGGGGGGGGGGGGGGGGGGGGGGGGGGGGGGGGGGGGGGGGGGGGGGGGCACCGCGGAGCGGAGACGGGGGAGGGGGGGGTCTGTACGACGCCGACTTTGACGAAGCCGCTGCTGTCGCTTTCGACCTCGATGTACGTATCAGAGTACCGTGGGTGGCATGACGCAACACGTCACTCCCCGTAGACCGATTTCCAAAGCTTGATCCACTACAATACTCCAGGATGATAGAGAATGTCCCAATAATTCAAGCAATGGCAAGACGGTTGCAAGCAACCTTTCTCGGCACCGCGACTCTTTCTACTGTGAAGTAGCAACCGAGCTCCAAGCATTGGTCCAGGGGGTGTGATATCTTGCGTGTGTCAGTGGTATTTTGCGTATGTCACGTACGGTAGACGGGGTGTAACCGCAGCTCTCAGTTTCCTCCTTGTTGCCATGCGCACCTGCCTTGTCCGGCGCTAGTCACAACCACCTAGGACCGAGCTTCACGCGGCCGAGGGAAGCAACCGGCGCTAAATCAACACATTGAAAAAACGGGAACAGTGCAGTGGGGGGGGGCGGCGTAGCGACCCCTAGCGCCACGATGAAATGTGGCCGCTATTCAGGGCAGGTCGCTAAACCGAACTACCGATGACATTCCAGTTATACTACGGGGGTGCGGCGGTGCCACGTTATTTTGTGATCGCTAAACCGAGCATGTCGCTAAACTGGGGGTCGCTAAACCCGGCCCCTTATTGTGAGTAGAAAGCAAGGAATCTGGAATCGCGTATACGCTTCAACCCCGATCATCAATCAGTTTTGGGTCTGCAACAGGGGAGTTCTGGCTTTATCACCCGGAAGTCAAAAGCCCACCTGCATATTACTTCAACTTTCTTTTCTTAATTTTTTTTCTGTCCTCCTTGTTGCCGTGCCCTTTTTGTTTTCGCTCTTCAGCAAGCCGTCATCCAAGCCCAGCAGCAGCGGGAGCTGCAGCAAAAACGGCAGCAAGAGNGGGGGGGGGGGGGGGGGGGGGGGGGGGGGGGGGGGGGGGGGGGGGATGGGTCTTTCCGGTCCCCGCCCCCGCCGCCTTCCCGCCGCCACGGCACCCAGCACGAAACCCCGCCTCCCCGCCATCAGCAGCAGAAGCAGCACCAGCACCAGCACCAGCAGCGAGGCGGGCAGCAACAGCAGCTGCAGGCAAAGGCACAGGCAGACATTGCTACGACGGAGATGGAAATTGCCGGGAAGATCCAGGTGATTTTTTTTTTTCCTTCTTAATCCGGACATGCAATGAGTGAGGTCGGTGGTTCTGTTGGTGGTATCGACGGCGTATGTGTGGTTTCTTGCGTTAGCATCGACTGACTCGCTAACCGACTGGCCGATGAAAATACGTCAACCTTGAAGCGGGATAACGAAACGCGACCACGCTTTCTACTCGAAGGACGTGTGTGCATGCCTTTGGTCAATTTACCATCAGCTGCACCAACCGGCTGACCAATGGCAAGACGCGGGACTTCCTTCTGGACAAATTTCGCCCTACGCAACGCTATTCGATGACATGCGCCCAGAACTCCGAGAGTCGTCTCCGGACAACCCCGCGTTCTCATCTTAACGGTGTTTTTTTTTTCTGTCTGCGGGCAGGAACAGTACAAACTCAACCAAACAGCGCACACGTGTCACTGCTGTGCGGATGTTTCTTCTTGCTCTCTTCTATGCGGCAAACAATACGAATGAATTCAACCAATCAGCGCCTCGGGGAGCTCCAGGCACAGACGACCCAAGCTCTGATGGAAGGGTACGAAGTCCCACAGAAGCTGCAGGAGGAAAGGCAGGGCCTCGAGACCGCCATCGCCGGTCTGGGCAAGACGCTGAGAGCCTTGAAGGTATCGGGGTAGCTTTGGCGTCTGTGACGTTGGTGGTGATGGTGTTGTTGTTGTTGTTGTTGTTGCTGCTGCTGCTACTGCCGCTGCTGCTGCTGCTGCTGCTGCTGCTGCTGCTGCTGCTGCTGCTGCTGCTGTTGCTCCCGCCGCCGCCGCCGCCGCCGCCGCTGCTGCTGCTACTACTGCTGCTGCTACTTTTGTTACTCGTGTTGCTCTTGGTGGTGGTGTGCTGTTTGTTACTCTTGTTGCTCTTGGTGGTGTTTGCTGCAGCTGTTGCTGCTGCTCTCTTTGCTCTTGCTCTTGCAGCGTTTTTTTTTTTTTCCTGTCTTCGCGGTGTCCGTGCCAACAAGCAAGCACCTACCAATGTATCCGTGTTGTCGATTCCAACTATTTTATGACTGTCTTTGGCCGTTCTTCACCACCCCGTTTTCAAGGCAACCGCTGAGGCGGAATCTCCGTCCTCCCAGACCCCGCAAGGCGCAAGAACGCCTCTTGGCAACCTTGCCATGACGGGAGGTGACCGTGATGGCTGTGGGGGGGGCGGGCACACTTTCGTCATGAGGTGGGGGACACACGTGATTGGGGGTTGATGTGCTTTTCAACCCTTGCCAGAATAAACCAACGCGGTGCGGGTACCGAACGAGCTCGGTCCATGTCATGTGGTGCTGCGTGGTGATGATCAAAAATGGTTGTTGTTGTTGTTGTTGTTGTTGTTGTTGTTGTTGTTGTTGTTGTTGTTGTTGCTGTTGTTGTTGTTGTTGGTGTTGTTGGTGTTGTCGCTGTTGTTGTTGTTGTTGTTGTTGTTGTTGTTGGTGTTGGTGTTGGTGTTGTTGTTGTTGTTGTTGTTGTTGTCTTCCGTCCATGTGCTGCTTGCTGATGATAACGAAAAGTGCCTTGACTAAATACCGATACTAGACACCCGATTCGGGCAATCAGCCCACCACACGTGCTCTGCTCGTTGTGTAGCCTTGGGTGATGCGGTCAAACATAGAGCGTACCGAGAGGCGTGGGCGACATAAGGCCAGAGTAGACGGCACGCAATCGAAACAAATCGAAAGCATGAAGTTCGTGTTGTCATCCATTCCTGCTTGCACTTCCAGGGTCGTGTCGCACATCAAGGTGCTTCGCGTGGTCTTGTCTCTCTGTCTGTCCGTAACGACGCCGACAATGGAGTTTTGTACAACAGCCAGGCTTGTTGTCAAGCGAGCAGCTTTGCACATCGTCTCTCTTGTGCCCCTGCGTAATTTCAAGCACTTTCACCTCAAGATCATGACTTCATTGACGCCGGGCGTCAAAAGGGGGTTGCTGCACAACAGCAGCAGTACGCTGCACAAACAGCAGCAGTGTCAGCGGTTCAAGTAGTTAGGCACAATTTCGCTCAACCATATCACCATAACAATTGACCCCCCCTTCCTCTCCCCCTTCCTCTCCTGTCGTTTCTCCCTCTCCGATCAACTCGAATCGAATACCTAAACTCAAGAACAGCAAATGATTACCAAGGACTTTTTTGTACGACTGCCTCGAACAGGACCCAGCAATCTTGGGGCTCTCCTCCGCCAGCGGGGACCCCGCGCGACCTTTACGCCGGCAGCGGCAGCGGGGGAGCGGATCGTCAGAGCTCACCCGCTTTCGGAAGGGGGGCGGGGGGCTACGATAACAGCTACGGAAGGAGCAGCTACGACAACAGCAGCGGGTATGGTGAGGGAGGGGGCAGTCACGACAACAGCGGGGGGTACGGAGGGGGTGAGGGTTCCGGCAACACAGGTGGCGGGTCTAGAATGAGCTACGAGAGCGGTGGAGGGTTCGGGGGAGGCGGCAGTGGTGGTGACTGGGTAGGGGAGTATGACGGGCAGGGAGGTGAGGGTGAGATAAGGCGCGACACTACCCAACTTTTCATCCCACGATATGTAGCCAGCCAGCGCAAGCCTACCGCGGGGGTAAGAGCAATGTATGCATGGCTGTGTGTGATCTCACGAAATCGCGCGCATTGGTTTTTTGAGTACCATGAGTCAGTCACACAGAACAGGACGAAGTGTAGTGGCGCCGTCCTCCCCATTGGGTATTTTGGGGCTATTGGTAGCCCTTGTTCATGCGTAGCCTAACCCTAACAGGAACTAAGAACCTTAACAGCCTCGGCCGTAGCTAGGGATTCTGTAGTGCGGGCGCTAACTGCATTGAAGTCACCCACATTCCTTGGGTTTTGTTCATTCTGCGCTGAACCCTGTATAGCGCGCATTCGTAGCGCAACCTAGGAACTAAGAACGTGTTCCAGTCTCGGCCGTAAGTAGTGTTTTTTCTTGTCCTGTCGCTAACTGTTTTGAAGTCAGCATCGTATTTGGTCGACCAAAATTGATACCCTCGTGGCGAAGTAGTCCCCAGAGGTTGGGGAAGCTTTGGCCCGCCATGCATTACGCCGCCGCTCATGTACAGACGTGGCATTGAAGATCACCCGCATTTCTTCTTTTGTTTTTGTTCGTTCTGCACTGAACCCTACATTGCGGCCATTCGTAGCGTAACCTAGGAACGAAGAACCTCACAGCCTCGGCCGTAACCAGGAGTTTGTGCGGGGGCTAACTGTACCGAAGTCACCCACATTTGTATTTCTCTACTTCGTTCATTCAGGGGGGAACAGCTACAACAACAACGATGACAGTGGCGACGGGACCCCATTGTGCGAGCACGGGACGCGGTGCGTGAAGCTCACGTCCACGAGCGAGAACAACCCGGGCCGCGAGTTCTACAAGTGCCCCCTGCCTAAGAACGGGGGGGAGCAGTGCGGCTTCTTCGAGTGGCTCGATGGGGAGGTGAGAGCGCCGAGGGTGCAGCATTCTTAGTGAAGATCGGTGTGCGCCGTACAGCCGGGTCTCTTCCTTTGTGTGGGTTGCGTGGTGCGGGTTGTCCGGAGTAGTGCGGGTAAAATTTGGCAGTTGGCACAGATGGAATAGTAATAATCAAGATGGTTACTACGTTGAGTAGTGCGGGTGAAATTTGGCAGTTGGCACAGGAATAATAATAATCAAGATGGTGAATACGTTGAGTAGTGCGGGTGAAATTTGGCAGTTGGCACAGATGGAATAATAATAATCAAGATGGTTAATACGTTGAGTAGTTCGGGTGCCCCGCTAAGTGCGTGTGATTGGCACATACCCGCACCTATGGAGGGGCCCCTACTATGTTCCTCACTCCACAGGAAATACCAAGATGAGTTGTACGTCGTTTTTTCCGCGAGGGTTTTGTAGTGTACCGTTGAGATCGCGTATGGTGCTTCTACACCCCCCGGACAGATTTTCAGCGCTCGATTGGCTCTGAAGCGAAGCCAGAGCGTGGCGGTGTTGCAAACGCCTCGCAGAGAGCTTGATTGCGAAAACGTGCAAGTCATGAGTTGATTTGGACGTTCTATTTGGTCGTGGAGAAGCAGAGCTTCGAAGCATCTTGTGTGGGACTTACGGTACACGGTATGTCCGCCTTCTCCACACAGAGCGGGGGTGGCCGAAAAGAAGTACACGCCGCAAGATAAGTTAGGGCGCTCAGTGCACTTCAGTCGGCGATCCTCAACAGCGGTACCCTCAATAGCGGAATGCCCTCTATAGCGGGGCACCGAGTTCGCTCGGCACAAATGCGTTTCTCAGTGCAATCCCTATTAGGATTAGCGGCACTGCCCTCTATAGCGGCACCAAAACCTCGTGTCACTACCTACCGCTGTTGAGGACCGCCGACTGCACTTCTTTTGTGTATGAGGGGCTCTCCCGGTATCTGCAAACAGGGAGAAAGGAGGATGTCGAAAACATGTAAAAAAGCCGCAGTGTGTCTGTAGTGTACCCTCTCGATGCAGGAGAGACGGGCAAGAAGGAATGGCATTCGAATGGCACGTATTTTATTAAGAAGCTTCCTTTACGCCCAGACTTGTTTTTTCGGAGGAAATGGCTCTTTTCTTGCCATTGGCGCCAGCCTATTGGTGGCGATCGAGGAGCTGGAGATAGCTGTGTTTGAACGGAGGAGTGGGTGTAGGTTAGCGCTTCACAGAGCCTAACTAATCGTTTCGAAACTATAGCCATGTGTATGCGCAGCTATTCCTCCTATCGATGGTTAAGCAAGCACTTTTGCACGCGTGTAGATGGCCTACCATGTTGGCGGCACTTTTATAGCCTCATGGAGATTGTGTATCGTGTGTATGCATACCCGCTCCGCTATCGATCAGGGAAACGGTGGGAATAGACCGTCGGGGGGAGGGGGGCTACCCGGCGGTGTTGCCAACGGAAAGCAGCTCGACATCCGCAAGGAAGTGTCCGACATCTTCGGGCACGCCAAGTTCAGGACTGGGCAGGAGGAAGTCATCGTGGTTTGTTGTTGTTGTTGTTGTTGTTGTTGTTGTTGTTGTTGTTGTTGTTGTTGTTGTTGTTGTTGTTGTTGTTGTTGTTGTTGTTGTTGTTGTTGTTGATCTTGTTGATCTTGTTGTTGTTTGTTGTCGTGGTTGATCTTGTTGTTGTTGATGGGCACGCCAAGTTCAGGTTGTGCGGATTGTTCTTGTCTCTTGTTGCCGTCGTTGCCGTCGTTGTCGTTGTTTATTCTTCATGGGTGAGGTCGTCTCTGCACGAGTTGTAACCAATTGCTATCGCCATCCCGGCGGCTCCCCCGTACCCTTCACCACATCCCGTCCTTGTCCAACCCGTACCGAACCAGCAAGATGAGCTCCTTCCATGGTAATTTCAGGCCGACAAACGTGCACATCGGCCCAGCTGATACTCCACAGGAATGGCACAATAGCTGTATGAATGTCTGCATGCGTGCCTAAAATTCGTAAGAAGTAGCGACATACAGGAGCTGAAGGCGCTGGTAGCTTGTTCTCTTGCATGGTAGTTGATAGGAGTATGACCCATGACACAATTGTCTATCTTTAGCACGATAACTTACGGCCCATAGCGTTGCGTGTCCACCCGCCCCGACTAAAACATGAACGTCCGGCGCACAGCTGTCTACGACTGTGGGGGTGCCGTGTAAATTTTCCACGTTTGTACGGGGTTCGCTCCACTCTTTGGTGCTGCCCCCCCATCCCGTTCGATGATACCGTACATTGTTCCTCAAGGACGGGATGACAAGAGAAATGTATCTTGGGGCTCATGCCCGCCAGCTTCTGCGGAAAGTACTTCTTCCCCCACCGCAATCACCGAGCCCACCCCCCTTTGCAGGACACGGACGACAGCGGTGACTATATATTGTCGTGCTCATGCCAGAGGCAGCTACTACAGCAAGTACCTCCTCCGCCACAGCCAACAATGACCCCNCGCGCATGCGCGCGCCCGCCCCACCCCCCTCTCCATGCAGGACGCGATGAAAGGGAAAGACGTGTTTGTGCTGATGCCCACGGGCGGCGGGAAGAGCCTCTGCTACCAGCTACCGGCGTGCTGCTGCCCGGGGCTAGCGGTCGTGTTCTCCCCCCTCATCTCACTCGTACAGGACCAGGTTCGTCACTCAGTCATCATCAGCACTCAGCCAGTTAGTTTGTTGCCAGCCAATGCGTCCTTGAGTAGTTTGTGTCAGTACCTCAGTCACTTGCTCAGGCATCGGGACAAAAAAAGCAGATACTCGGGCATAGATGGAGTTATTCATTCATTCATCCATTCATGTATTCATGGGTTCATTCAGTCGGGCAGTCAAGCGTCTGCTACTGCCGCAAAAGGGCACCACTTTCCGCGAAAGCAAGAGAGAGCTATCATCAGATTTGGGCAACAGTTCAATGCCAGAGGTGCTGGCGCCCGCCTCAAAGGCGACCCCCCTCCCACCGCCTTCACGCATGCTGACTGCGAAATTCCCACCAAGCCCTTTCACGGTGCCCCCCCNCCCCCTTCTTTTATGTTCTATTCGAGAAGGTGGCTCAAATGAGGGCTACTGGAGTGGAGGCGGCGTATATCAACTCAGAGCAGGACTATGACAGCGAGGTGAAAGGAAGCATCATTCTTGTTGTTTTTTCGTCTTTGGTGCGGCGGGATGACGTCAGCACAACCGGTTGCTTTCGTAGGAAAGGAGCAACCGACCTTTGAATACGAGGCGGCGACAACATCAACACCAACAACAAAACAACCACCAGCAGTATCAAAAACAATTACAACAGGGATGACATCAACACCGCCAGCGGCAACAACAACTGCCATCAACAGCAGCAAAAACAGCAAACCACAGGAGTAACAACCAACAGCGACAGGTATAGCTTTCTTCAACATTTCCTACACACGCGTCCCGCTGGTGGTTGGAAGACTTTCCGACAAAGACTTTCTTCAACTCTTTCGTGCACGCGTCGTGTTGGTGGTTCGAAGAGGTTTCGAAGAATCGTCTGGGCGAAAAAACCATGCCCGCCCGACCAAAGCTGCGAAAGAGCAGAGTGCGCCGTTTTAATCCGGCCTCCCATATTGATGCCGTGCTTGGTGCCACCTGTGACGCGGTTTTTCTTTTCCGCATGGTACACGGGACGGAAACCATCAGGTCCGGGTGGTGATGGACCAGCTGTACCGCCTGCAAGACTACGGGGGGCTCAAGCTCCTCTACATTACGCCAGAGAAGTTCTGCCGAAGGTGTGTGTGTGAGTGTCTGTGTGGATGTGTGGATGTGAATGCTGTGGTCATTTGTCTGTTCGTCGTTCGCGTACGTGTATTGTACTACGCACTTGGAAATCCTCCCGTAGGCAGTAAGAAGAGGTGGAAATAGGCAGTGTGAAGAAGTGGACATAGGCAATAAGAAGAAGCTTCTGTCTATGCCAGACACAGCTCAAGTTCCGTGCCCCGCCCGAACACGCCTTCCGGCTTTCGGCAATTTGTCTCACTGCTCAAGTATTGTTTCTAACGCTGTTGTTGTTGTTGTGGTCGTCGTCGTCGTCGTTGCTGCTGCTGTTGCTGTTTTTTTGTCGTTGTTGTTGTCGTCGCCTTCGCAACAATACCCGTTCCAATCTTTGCTCGGTACATCCTATCATCGACACTGGTCCGATCCCCCCCGTTTCTTTCTGCGTCTTTCATTGGGTGTGTTTTGCGCCGACCAGCCCGTCTATGAACAAAGCGCTGCAGCGCCTGCACTCCAAGGGGCTCCTTTCTCGTTTCGTCATCGACGAAGCACACTGCGTCAGCGAGTGAGTGTCAGTCAGGGAGGGCTACCGATACTCGCGTAACAAGCATGCCGTAGTCGTTAGGCCATTGACCTCGCGTCCCTACACTGCCGGGACGGAGCGACATGCCAGGTTATCGCTGACCCAGGCTACGTCCCCCAAGGATGGACCAGAAACTGATCATCATCCTTGGAGGGGGGGAGGGACCGAAAGAAATTGCTTGAAAATCGGGGGGTACAACGGGTTCGCTGCTCGCTCTCCTAGTTTGACCCAAAGGCAAAGCCTGCTGTGCTGCGAAGCAGATGGTTGTTTTTTAGAGGGGAGGCTTGCACCGCTGCGACAAACGTTTTTTGTGGTACGGTATTACCGTGAACCGCCATCCGCCTCTTCTTCTTCCCTTTCCTGTACTCCCCTCTTTTTTCTTTGCTCTCTGTTTCTCTTGGTTTGGGTGTGTTCCTACAGTTGAAGCACTCCTCTTTCTGCCATCTTTGGTGGGTTATGGTTCTCGAACACCCCCGAAACATGTCTGCGCTTATTCTCCCATGTTTTTATCGGCTCATTCCCACCTTGTGTCTCATCTTTGTTTTTTCTTACTCTGACGTTGTTACCTCTTGTACTCCCGCGCCCCCGCCCCCCCACTTCTCCCACCTCCACCTACCCTTTGTTTTTTGTGTGTTTTTTATGGTTAGCATCGACCGGGCTAACCCGCTGACCATTAAAAAGACGCAAGTCTCAGCGCGGTTGAAAACACAAAATGCCTTTACTACAGCGGATACCATGATCTAGGACCCCATGTAGGGGCGTCATGGGGGAGACTATGCTACTCGCCGGATAAAAGAGACAGGAACGGTGTCGCTAGCAACCGAAGAGGACTGAACATGTTTACCAAGGCTGCCACTTGGAACGCGTCCGTTTCAGGGTGCTTTCATCATCCTCCCTGCATTCACCACCATCACTCTCGTCGCCAAATTTCCACTGTTCGTGTGTGTGTGCGTTTGTGTATGTTTCTTGTGAGCATCGACCGCGCAAACCGGCTGACCAATGAAAAGACGTCAGTCTCAGTGCGGTTGAAAACAAAAAATGCTTCTATGTAAAGGCCACAATCGCGCGCGCGCGCGCGCGCGCGCGTGTGTGCTTTTATTCTTAGCATCGACCGCGCTAACCGGCTGACCAATGAAAAGACGTCAGTCTCAGTGCGGTTGAAAACAAAAAATGCTTCTATGTAAAGGCCACAATCGCGCGCGCGCGCGCGCGCGCGCGTGTGTGCTTTTATTCTTAGCATCGACCGCGCTAACCGGCTGACCAATGAAAAGACGTCAGTCTCAGTGCGGTTGAAAACACAAAACACTTCTATCTGCCATGAACTTGTACCCCGTGAGGGGGCAGCATGGGGGAGGCTAAACTATCCACCGGCTCAAAGACAGAAACGGTAGCAACAGAAGAAAACTGCACACGTCTGCGAAGGCTGCTACCTTGCACTCGAGTCCGTTGTGGAGTGCTTTCACCGTCATCCTCCTTCTTCCCAACTCCATCGTTCTCATGGTCATTTTCACAGCAACTTTTCAACATTTCCTCTCTAGCCCTGCGTCGTTGGTGGTGGGGAAGGTCATCTGGCTCCAAGCTCTTGCTCTCTTCCACGCAATTATTCCCCTCCTCGCCTGTGTGTGTGTGTGTGTGTGTGTGCGTGTGTGTGTGTTTTTTCTCTTGTATCAGTTGGGGCCACGACTTCCGACCGGACTACCTGAAGCTGGGCATACTCCGGAAGGACTTCCCGGACGTTCCCATCATGGCCCTCACCGCCACGGCAAACACGGTCAGTCAGTCTTGGCAACCCGCAAAACTGTCACCATGTCACTATGTATGCATCTCGCCGTGCACGCACAGCTTTGCCCTGATTTCTATACGGGCGACAGGAGCTAGGCATCGTCATCGTCACCCTCCCTCCGCTTGGGTGCTGCGTTGGTCTGTGTGGCATGCATGTAGACAGGATTCGCGTGCGTGCGTGTCGTTCTGTGCTTTTTCTTCCTTACCTCGAGCTATCTTGCTATTTTGTTCTTACCCTTCATGCGACTCGCCGAATATNGGCTTTGTAGGGATGCGAGGTCAATGGTCTAACGACTACGGCATGCACGACTATGAGTACCCCCCCCCCCCCGACGGGCCTGTGGCATTCTGCTTCTACTATATGTACGTTTGTCATGAAAAGGCTGCTGCTGATAGTCATGGGCCAGGTCGTAGTGTAGGAGCGTGAGGGGGATACATAGAACTGCAACACAAGAACAACTCAAGTGTTGAACGCATGTTGGATACATGTAGAAAAAAATTTACGATCTATTGTACCCGCCATGTATGCTGCTACCCCTGCGCATATAAATAGTCCTTCGGGCTGACCAGCGCTGTTCGCACGAAGGGTCGAAGACCTCATGACTACATTCAACAAAATTCCTTTTTTCAACTTCCCCGCTGTCGTTGTTGCCACCTCGTCCCTCTGCCCCTGTCTGTCTTGACTTCTTGTTCGGAACAACACAGGTGGTCAGAGACGACACCATCAGGCGGCTTCAGCTCAGAAACCCAACCGTACGCACCGAGAGCTTCAACAGGCCCAACCTGAAGTACGAGATCAGGCCCAAGAAGGCCGGCGTTCTCGATGAGGTACCCCTCCCCCCTTGCCTAGCCTCCGAGACAGTCGTGTTTTTTTTCCGTTTTTTCGTGGAAGCTTCCACAACTTTTACTAGCCTCCGAGACCCGAGACAGTTGCGTTCATTTCCGTTGTTTCGTGGAAGCACCCATAATTTCCACTAGCCTCCGAGGCAGTTGTGGTTATTTCGGTTTTATCGTGGAATCTTCCGCGGCGTCCCGTGGAAGTTGCGGAAGCTTCCGCCTCGCGCGTGTCACGGAAGAGTGGAGCGAAGCAGAAACCCTGTCGTGAATGATGTTGTTGGTCATCGTTGTCGTTGTCGTTGTCGTTGTCGTTGTTGCCATTCGTCTGACGCTACCTTGAAGTTTGCTACTCGTTTAACGTTGTTGCGGTTATCCGAGGGATCATCATCGTTCCCACAGGAGGATGCCTGGGAGTATACCTCCGCAACACGCAGCCTGAACCTACGTATTTAGACTTTTCAAGTTCCATTTTTTTCCTCGGGAATCCCTCAATAGTGTCCAGATCAAACATGTCACACATTCCCGAGAAAAAGACCAAGCATCGCCGTGCCTTCCTTGTTGGTGCATCGAGCGCCGTGTTTTTAACCCTTGGACCCTGGGCTGTTTCGTGCGTGTCTCCTCGTGTGATGGTTGTATGTACTGTGTTGTGGTTCGATTGGTCAGATCGCGAAGGTGATGCAGAGCTTCCCCGGGCAGTCGGGCATCGTCTACTGCTTGAGCAGGAAGGACTGCGAGAAGGCGAGGATGACCTGTTGTTGTTGCTATTGTTTTCATGGGTTGTGGTGGTTGTTGCTGCTGCTGCTGCTGCTGCTGCTGCTGCTGCTGCTGCTGTTGTTGTTGCTGTTGCTGCTGCTGTTGCTGCTGCTGCTGCTGTTGTTGTTGCTGCTGCTGTTGTTGTTTTCGTGTCCTTTTGTGGTTGCGGTAGTGGCGGTTGTTGTTGGAGTTGTGCTTTTGCTGTTGCTGTCGTTGTCATGATGCTGGTGATTGCTGCTGCTGTGTTATTTCATTTTTCAATCCTTGCGTTTCACTGTCTTGGCTTAGCGGCGGCTGTGTGGACGCACAAAGTCCCAGACAAGCGTGTCAACCTAACGTGCATGCCGTGACGCATGATCGCGATGCCCAACTACCCACACCACACCCCTCCCGGCTGGACTCAAATCACAGGTCGCTTCCGGCCTGCTGAAGAAGCTGAGCGAGACTACGGGGGGGCACCGCGGAAGGTATTATCTATTGCATACATGCATACCCTTGTTCTTGTTGAAATCTCATACCCGCGGGTGATGAAGGTGATTCGTCTTTTTTGCCTTTTATTTTCCTCGAGCGGGGGCGAGGGGGGTTGGGAGTTTTCTCGCGCATGTGAGCCCAGCAGTCCTTCCATGCGCAGAATTCAGGGAGTTCATATTTATTTTTGGAGAATAACGTAAACGGACACGTCTAAAAAAAGACCACACGTTCCGTTGCAGTACCCTTGGTACGAGCTGTGACAATGCAAAAAAGGCACACACCTTGACCTTAGAAGCGTTTTCCGTTTTTCAGCCGCGCTGAGACTAGCGTGTTTTCATTAGTCAGCCGGTTAGCGCGGTCGATGCTATCAGAACAGACACACGCACTACAAGACCTACGCAGTTCATTGGTGACCCGGATAGTGTTGTCAATGCCAATAGTACAGACACACCCACACAACTTTAGCCTTTAGAATAGTTTTCCCATTTTTTCAGCACTGAGACTGGCATGTTTTCACGGATGAGCCGGTTTGCGCGGTCGATGCTAACAGCAATGACACATAGAAGGCAAGACTGACGTCTGGTTCATTGGTCAGCCGGTTGGGGCGGTCAGCGCTAACAATACAGACACACCCACACAACTTTGGCCTTCAGAAGCATTTTCGCATTTTTATCCGCACTGAGACTGACATATTTCCATTGGTGAGCCGGTCAGTGCGATCGATGCTACGGTAGTAACGAGAATACACACGAATTCCCGCCACTCACTGCTGTCAGCAACACATTCCCGTTCGACTGTGGTACAGTATTACCTCGAATGGACATTATTTCTTTGATTGCATGATACTTCCTAAATAACACACACAACTCACACACACTCCTGCTCTGACAGGTTCCGGGTGGACTTCTACCACGCGGACCGCACGGCAGCGGAAAAGGCTAGGGTGCACCGCGAGTGGAGCGCCGGTCGGATACACCTCATCTGCGCCACCATTGCCTTCGGCATGGGTGAGCCTGCGTCCGCCGTTTTTTTGTCGTCTTGGTTGCGTGCTTTGTTTATTTGTCCGCACCTGTGGGCCAGCTGGCAAGGTTTCTTTGGGGCGTGTTTTCGTCTGTTATGCACCCCTTTCAGCGATGGTGGAAGGTTTATTTTCGTGCAACCAGATAATCTGCTTCTTCACCACTCCGCCCCCGCCGCTGGGGTGCTGACAACCGGTTGAAGTCATTGGCATGTGTGTTGGACGACCCAATGCTGTTCTTTTGCCCCTCCCCCCTTTTGTTTTGGTTCTTGAAGCAAGCGCCAATGCACCGACGTCCGCGATGTGATCCCCCCCCCCTCCAAAAAACATAGCTAACGTTTGCAGGAATCAACAAGCCAATGGCGGCCCACCACGCTTGCTCCCCTTCTCCAATAACAATTAAATGGTACCGTTTGCAGGTATCAACAAGCCCGATGTCCGTTACGTCATCCACCACTCCATGCCCAAGACCCTGACCCACTTCTACCAGGAGTCCGGCCGGGCTGGGCGGGACGGCCTGGACTCGAAGTGCATCGTCTTCTTCGCCTACCGTGACAAGGCCCGCTTAGAGGTATAGTGGCGGCTATGTACGGGTTAAAAGAGGGTCGGGACAAGCCAGTATTTCTCTCTTAAATCCGGTCTTGTCTTAGACAGTGCTGCTGTGAAACGTATGAATTTGCCATGGTCGTGACAAACCAGTTTGAGTCTCTCTTACACTGTAGCCGTCATGTACGTAGGTGTAGGTGTGGGTGGATGCCCAACCACACACCCGGCGGTCTTTGCACTGCTGTCCGCGTCGCCTCTTCGCGTAGCCACGCAAGGCCCGTTGACACTCTCGCTGTCGCTGCCCTGGCTGCCGTCGTTGGGGGCACACGCTTCCTGTATTGTTGTTGCACAGAACATGGTGAACCAACCCCTTGCTGTCACAATGCCAGCATTGGCCTTGCACGGTGTCAAACCCTGCTATGTATCATCGTTGGGGCTTGTCAATACTGTGTCGTTGCACAGACCATGGTGAACCCCTTGCTGTCACCGTTGCCCCTGTTGTCCCTATTGTTGCTCAGAACACGAAACCAACCCTTGGTATCATCGTTGGGGCTTATCAGTACTGTATCGTACACTAAACATTGCCTTGCCCTGATATCACCGTAGGTGCTTATCAGTACTGTATCGTTGCACAGAACGATGTCAACCCTTGCTATGTATTGTTGGTGCTTGCCGGTACTGTTGCCCAGAACATGGTGAACCCTTGTCGTCATCGTTGCCCTTGCTGCCCGTCCGTATCTGTTGCCCAGAACATGGTGAACCGCGACAAGAGCCTTCCGTTCCAGCGGCGCCAAAGCAACCTCCAGGAGGTGTACAAGTGTGTCCGCTTCTGCATCAACGAGGTCAGGCCATCGTCAGAAGGACGGCCAAGCATTTTCCGGTTGTCACACTCTGTTGGTGGTGCTGCTGGTGTTGGTGTTAATAGAACGAGAGGTGCCCGAGAGTTGTCCGGCACTAATTATTTTTTGGCCTTCGCAGCCTCTCGGTTGGAGCAATCCTATTCATTGAAGCCATTGGTTCCTCTTGTAGCAATTGTCATCACAGCGAACCACGATGCCCTCTTCGGCATAATCGAAGTGAACTCTGTTAACCTCCCCCCTTGTGGTGCTGCTCGTTTGGCCAGCACCCACCAAAGGAAAACCACACCACACACACGCGCGCGCGTGCATGAATTGCGGCGGTATGGACACGATACACCACTGAAATGACGCAGTTAGTGGAAGCATGAACAGCCGGCTTGACCGCGCGAGTCACCCAACGCTGGAGTACGGATTGGCGTGTGTTTCGTTACCGAGACAACAATCAAAAATCATCGTTCAATACCACCTTCACCACGATCCCCCAGGTGGAGTGCCGCCGCGTGCTTATCCTGGAGTTCTTCGGGGAGCACTTCCCACGGGGGCGTTGCAAGGCCACCTGCGACAACTGTATCGCCATGCAGGGCTGCGAGAAGGAGACCAAGGACTGCACGGAACAGGCGAGGGAGGGACGCGGTTTGTGATTGGTTCGATCCGTGGATGTGTGACAGTCTCGTGGGCGTGCCAGTTGTGTTCCTAGAAGGAGAGTAGCGGTGGGTGACCAAGGACTGCGCCGAACAGGCGAAGGAATGAGATTGGTCCAGTCCGCGGATGTATGACAGTCTCGTGTGTGTGCCACTGTGTGCCCAGAACGAGAGTGGTTGTGGGTGACCAAAGACTGCACCGAACAGGCGAAGGAATGAGATTGGTCCAGTCCGTGGATGTATGACTGTCTCGTGTGTGTGCCACTGTGTGCCCAGAACGAGAGTGGTTGTGGGTGACCAAAGACTGCACCGAACAGGTGAGGGAGGGACGGTTTCGATTGGTTAAACCCGTGATATACACGTGACAGTCTCGTTGTGAGTGTGCGATTGTGTTCCTTTACGGTTACCATCCTCTAGAACAACAAAATCCCTGGGTTAGGTACATACGTCAAGAATAGTCGTTCCGAGAGGCAAAGAGTGACGTCAGAATAATGAGACATCAACACATACAACACACACAGCTTCTGTCTCTAATCCGGAGAGTAGCGTAGCCTCCCCGATGACGCCCCCTCACGGGGTCTCAGACCATGGCAAGCTTTAGGAGCATTTTATGTTCCCAGCCGCACTGAGACTGACGTATTGTCATTGGTCAGCCCGTTCAGCTTATAGTGAAGACACACAAACATACACAACACACACCTACCCCGTTTTTTTCGCCGGATCTACCGTGTTCCATTCACCCGTCACTATATTTCCGTACCGTTTTTGTACTCATTTTTTTTTTTTTTGTTTTCGTGTTTTCCGGTGCCACCCACCCGCTCATCGGCATCCTCGTCCACCACTTTAGGTTTGCGTTTTTTCCAATTCAATTCACACTGGAAGATTTTTTCTCTTGTCCCGAATCCATTTCCCACCAGGCCGGTCGGTTGTTGAGGCTCTCCGAGGTGATGGTGGAGCGCGAGATTCGGCACACGCTCGTTCAGCTGGTGTCCGTGTGGCGAGGGGACTCTGTCAAGACCCTGGACCAGTGAGTATGTGGTCCGATTCACGCGAGCCTACGTGAGCATAGACCCCGCGAAGCAAGGCTAGCTATCCGGTCGGGCAGCTTCGACGCCCTCATGACACTCATCCTTCACACAGAGGCCAAGCGCGCGATACACGTCTGCGTGAATATCGACCTCACGCAAGTCTAGCTAGCCAGCCAGCCGGGGGTTTTGATGCCGTCGATTATGCACTCATCCATCCCATGCGCCAGTGCGCGATACGCCATCACTTTTTGACGACTTGACACGTCGACCGGACAGCAGCATCGTCTGTCATGCAACCGGTGCCCCGCCGCGAAGAGGTGTTATCTACATTGGCCAAGGGGTGCCATTTGTGAGCACGAGCAAGGAAGCAACGTGTTTATTGGAAGGCGCCGTTCATTGTTCCGCTTGTGCTAGACCACCAGAGGGGGGGGTGGGGGGGGGGCACCGTGAAGGCCTCCATTTACATACCATAGTCGGAAATACAAGAAAAATGCAAAAAACAAGGACAGAAGTACTCGTGTTACATCGTCACGCCTACGCCCGCTCTCTCCCTTTTTTTTTCGGTAAAGACGGACAGATCGATAGGCATGCAAGCAGGCGGGCAAAGGATAAGAAAATTGTTGGTGTGACTCTCGTGTGTGTGTGTGTGTGTGTGTGTGCGTCTTTACTGTTAGCATCGACCGCGCTTACCGGCTAACCAATGAATAGACGTCAGTCTCAGTGCGGTTGAAAACACTAGACACTTCTAAATGCCATTTAACTGTGTGTGTGCAGACAGAGGCGCTCGAAGAAAAACAAGAGTTAGTTCGTACGAGCCACACAATTCACATTGCGTTACCACAACTCACAGAGTGCGTGCTCATACTGTGCCACCACCCCATCAAGCGCCTCGCATTGAGCGATATGGAACTATTCACCGAGCTAATGGATAAAGGCTGTGAATCCTAATCGTCCTTGCGGCAGGCGGGGCGCGAGGCAGCTGGAGTGTGCCGGGAGCTGCAAGGACATGACGAAGGACGAGGCCATCCGTGTCGCGCAGCAGATGGTGCTCTCCTCCTTTCTGGAGGAAGTGGTGAGACTCCGACGGCCTTTCTATCGTGTTGATTGTTGCTGTTGGTGGTGTTGCTGTTGCTGTTGTCGGTGGTTGTTGTTGTTGTCGTGGCTGCTGCTGCTGCTGCTGTTGTTGAGTGTGCCGCATCTGTTGTTGCTGTTGTCATCGTTGTTGATGTTGGCGATTCGATCCCTTCTTCCACCCAATCAACCCATGGCGTACCTGGTTTGGCACAGCGAACGCGAGGGTGATGACTAACTTCTTGTCCATCCCCTGTAAATCGTAGATTGCATGGGCCGGCGAAAACCCTGCATATCGCTCCACCCGTCCCGGCGTTGTATGGATGCGAAGTCTACGGTCCAACGATGTTACGGCATGCGTTTTCATGAGTACCCCCCCCCCCCCCCCCCCCCCCCCCCCCCCCC